CTTTCCACTGATGTATGGTTTGTTAGGATCGGACAATATTTGGCTGAGATCCAACTATTTGAAAATCTGGAATCTGAGGGTGCGAAAAAATCTAAATATTGAGAAAATCTCCTTTAAAGTTGTCCAAATGAAGTTCTTAGCAATGCATATTACTAATCAAAAATTAAGTTAATATATTTACAGTAGGAAATCTGGAAAATATCTTCATGGAACATGATCTTTACTTAATATCCTAATGATTTTTGGCATAAAAGAAAAATCTATAATTTTGACCCATACAATGTTTTTTTGGCTATTGCTACAAATATACCCCAGCGACTTACGACTGGTTTTGAGATCCAGGATGACATATGGGTAATACTATATATATATCCATTCTATGGTCTCATCTCACTACAGAATTATCCTAAACCTTTTAAACTTTTCTTGCTTAGACAAAGAAAAAAGAAAAAAACATTCTCCAAATGAAGGCAGAAACTAACAATTGGAATTTGCGTTGATCAAGTGCTGGACATGGGGAGTTTACACCTTTTGGGGCAGATGATAATTTGCATTGAAGACACATGAGAATGAGCACAACCTCTACAGTAAACAAAATAAGTCTTAGAATCTTTATTACCTTTTAGTTCATTTCTTCTGGGAATTAGACCATTGTATCAGTCACACAGTCATTTCAAGTGATACCAGACACGACTGTGAATATCACTTGCATTCGTGTAGAACATTATATTTAGCAATTGACTATTCTGAGTGAACTTTGTGAATTCTGTCACGATGTGTTGAAGACTCGATGATAAATAAATTTCAACGCAAAGTTCAATCGCAATAATCCACACAAGCGCTAACCCAAACAGCAGAAAAACACATCTACATAAACTGTGACCAAACAAAGTGTCTGTGAAGGAGCAACTTAAATACATAGACAAATGAGGGTAATTAACTAGACACAGGTGATAGTGGTTAACTAATAAAGACTAAATGAGGCCAGGAACATAACCAAATATGGGCACACAGGAACTAAACCAGAACAGAAGACAGGAAAACACAGAAACAAGGTCCATAACGTGACATTCTTTCAGTGAAACAGATGCCTATATGTTAATATGCTGAGTTTGTATTGTCTATCTCAGGTTCTTCCAGCCTTACAACATTTTTCTAATCTTTGTGCTTAACATTTAGCCTACTGTTTGTAAAGACTAAATGATTTGTGTGTTGGCAAAAAAACAAAAAAACAAACCACAAATGCATATTTGAATTTTTAAGTGCTGAAAAATGTGCTCAAAAAGGGGTAAATAATTAAGTACAAAACCTTGTTTTACTCACTGTCTTTGTTTTCTTGCCAGTTGTTTGACAGCATTTCTGAACTGTCTGAAAAGTTCAAAACTGAAAGCAGGCCCATTTATGTCAATGAATAGTGCTAAAGAGAATCTTAATGCTTGAAGATCAACGTCATTGTTTACACTGTTAAAGGACATTTTTCTTATAAATATAGTTAATTATGTGTATGCTTACAGCCCAGAATGAGCTGGCAGGAAAAGGGGTAGGAATATCTGATGAGGTCATCACTTTAGAGGTCATGTCGCCAGATGTGTGTGACCTCACACTGATCGATCTACCTGGAATCGCCAGAGTCCCATTAAAAGGACAGCCAGAGGACATTGGAGAGCAGGTAGGCAGTATGATCTGATTTTGGACTTCATATTTAATATCAAGCTAATATCAATCCAGTTTTAAACCTATGTCTATTTCTTGTAGATCAAAAGTTTGATCTTTAAATTTATTGAGAAGCAAGAGACTATAAACCTGGTTGTGGTCCCTTGTAACACTGACATTGCAACAACAGAAGCATTAAAAATGGCACAAGAAGTAGATCCTGAGGGCAAAAGAACTGTTGGTAATGAAGCAGATTATCCACTTAACAACTAATATTTCACCAAATATCTCATTTTTGTCAGAGAAATACACATTATATGAAATAACTATTTTTCATTCTCAAAGCCATTTTGACCAAGCCAGACCTCATAGACAAGGGAACAGAGAAGAGCATTCTGAAAATCGTCCACAATGAAGTGATTGATCTCCGCAAAGGCTGCATCATGGTGAAGTGTAGAGGACAACAGCAGATCAATGATGACATTCCTCTGGAGGAGGCAGCACAAATGGAGAGAGATTTCTTCCAAAACCATGATTATTTCAGGTTACCATCGGAAGAGAATATAATTTAAGTTTTTTGTTCCATAGTTTGCTGCTAATTTTTGTGCTCTGAACTAACATTTCATAAATTCAAAATTTCCCAGTTGCACCTCCCATTGGTACTTTGGTATCATGTTTTATTATTATTTTTTAGAAAAAAGTATTTCAACTAAATTTAAGCTTCAATATTAATATTTTGGAAACATAATTTTCAAATTTTGTCAGTCAAATGTCATATGCCACAACCAGCATGCAGGGGAAAAATACCACAAGTGAATAATCTTACCAAAAATCATATCATTTTGGTATTTTTGACAAGGAAAGGTTAGTTCAGATTGTAAAATGATGTGTAATGACTCCCTAAAATTAATAATTCATTAATTTAAAAAAATACATTAAAACATATTTGTCATTAAACTGAATGACAGTTGACAACTGAATTTGCACTGACCCCATTGCAAATGTTTGCCTCTGCTAATCGACCCTTAAAAAGGGCTTTTATTAAGGTTTTTGTGTCACTCATTTTGGTTAAAGCACTGTTATGATATTTTGTTAAAGAATACCTTATCAAGCTATACCAAAAAGTGCCCTTTTTTTCTTTCTTTTTTTTTGCAGATGCCTCTTGAAAAAAGATAAAGCAACTATTAAATGTCTCGCCATCAAACTTACTCAGGAACTTGTTGATCATATCAAAGTAAGTTTCTATTTTTCTCAAATCAATTAAAGTCTTTTCAAACTCGGCATGAATTTAGTTGCACAATTAACATTGTGGCAGGATGAATTGAGAGACTTTTACTAAATTAAATCTTACCCACCATTGTCAGAAATCCTTGCCACAGCTTGATGATCAAATAAAAAACAGCTGTGGGACGTGAGGGATGAGCTCAAGGAGTGTGATGGCGGACCTCCACAAGACCCTAAGGGAGCCAAACAATTCCTTACTCAAGTAGGATCTCACATAATCACTTCATGATGATGACTTCATCAAATCTTCTTGCTTCTCTGAATTAGTGTGTTCAAGCTGAATCTCCACTGTTTGTTCTGATTTTCTCCTCCTCCTTTATTTCGGTGTTAGGGTAGAAGAACTCTAAAAGGGAGCAGGTCTGTTAGAGTCTTCTCTGATAGTTTATATAGTATGTCCAACCCCCTTTTGGAGCTTCTACCCCATTTTGGAGTTCAGGCTACAGCTACATTCTTCTCCCCTGTTCATGTATACACACCTTTTATTGACATTGCAAAAGAAAGCTTTACATTAGCAAAGCATTTGTAACATTGTTACATTCACATACAATTAAAAAAATACATCATACAGTAGTACTACATTCTTAAAATAAAGGTGCTTAAAAGGTTCTTCACAGCGATGCCATAGAAGAACCATTTTTGGTTCCTCAAAGAACCATTCAGTCAAAGGTTTTTTAAAGAACCATCTCTTTCTTACCTTTTTATAATCTGAAGAATCTTCTTTCGCCACAAAGAACCGTTTGTGAAACAAAGACGTTAAAGGTTCTTTATCCTCCTGAGACCCTGTGACCTCATATGAGGACATTATATTTTGGTGTATTTCTCTGAGACTATACATGCCACAGTTTGGTCTGGATGTCCTGTACAGAGCACATTCAGGGCTTTTCAGAGATACTAAATGTTTGGATGTTTCACTATGACCACTCCCTCTCCTTGGTCTTCAAAAATGTCTGATATTAATTTAGTGACACTCTTATGGAAATATAATAATATTTTGTAATTATCATTTAAATCTGTCTATTTTTAAACTGTCTGTCATAAATCAACATCTCAGGAAAATGTTAAGGGGTTTCAAATCAAAATATGACTTCCTGTTACGAAACAGGAGGTTGATTTCATA